CGACTAGATTCTCTACCAAAGGAAAAGAAAAAGAGAAAAGAAAAAAGAGAAAGAAAAAGAGAAGAGAAAACAACCCAGTACCAGGAAAGTAGATCGGTGGAGCTTTAGATGTAAAAGTCCAACTTTAATGAAGATTTTCTTAAGAAGATTCATATTTTTTTTTGTTTATAGGATAAAGAGAAAAAAAAGATAATATAAAATAATATGGCGACTTGGATGAGAATAGGAAACGAAGACACGCAAAAAAAACCCCCTCGGAGAGATCATTCCCGTCTGGATGATTCACCTAAAAAAGAGAAAATTGGACTAAACAACTATTCATCGTCGGGATCAAGAGAAGTTGATTACGATGTTGGATCCACCGAGTTGACTCCTGCAACGTGGATTAATTTATTATCACGCGTTAGACATGATTTTGCATTCTCGTCAATGCCAATATGTCAAAATAATAATAGATAGAAATAAAGTCAACCTGTTGTGAATTCTCCTAAATAGCTTGGCACCTTCAACCGTCTTGAAGGTGATATCGGCCGAATGAGCTATGCGATCTAGGGTAATGGACTGAAGACAATTTTTTTATTTTGTTTTATTTTTTTTATTTTTTTTAGCAAAAAGCTCGACCACAAGACGTCAAACGAACAGACGGACACTTGGGCATCGTGAACTCACCAAAAATCCCCCGGGAACGGTGCCGGCCAAGTTCTGGAGATCACGCTTCGTTACACTCTCGTCGACATTAGCAATCGTCAGCCTGTTTGAGCCAGCCCCCGTCTTACCGCTGTTTGCATTTGTCGTGGACTTTGCTTGATTATTTGACGAGGAGTTAGCCGAAGGGGTGGATTTTACAGGGGGCTTAGGTAAAGTCTTGGTGAATGTCTTTTGAACTTGTTTGGAAGTTGACTTGGTGGCCGACTTGGAACTCGCGGTTGGTGCAGCAGATACCGAAGAAGCATGGGCATTATTGTTATTATTAACGGTATTTTGTTTGGATTTTGTTGATGAGGTGGTGGTGTTGATGGGTGTAGGAATCCCTGATTTGGAATTCTTTTCTGAAGTTGCACTCGAGGAGTTTTTCCCAGTATTTATAGGGGAGACGGTTTTGGTCCGATCGGAGCCTTTTTGCGTGGCAGCCGCGGGAGCGGTAGGTTTAGTTTCCGAGGCGGTCGACTTTCCATTTGTGGTGGTACTCTTCTTATTTGCTGGTTCCTTTTGCTCGAATCCGTCGGCTGGCATTTTACGCTTGGGAAGGGAGCTAGGCATTGTTCTTTGATTTTGACTGTTTGACTGTTGACCCGCCGGCCTTCGTGACGGCAACGCGTTGTGGTGATTAAAAGCCGGATTGCCACCTCTGGTTCCAAAAGAGTTATTGTTTCCGCGTCCACCACCACCAATATGAGCCATCGATGGATGAAATGGAGGGATGTCCATTTGACCTTGGAAGGGCATCATGTTCATTGGAGGTCCGCCGGGGGGGAATTGAGTCATCTGACTTGCAAATGGTAACGCGTGTGGTCTTAACCTCGCGAAGTTCGGATTGACATGAATGTTGGGCCCAATCATTGGACCTTACATGATCCATGTATAAAATGAAAAGAAAATACATATGTATATATATTGTTATACGAAAATAATATAATGATAAAAATAATAAAAATAAAAATAAAAATAATGATCGCAATATTTATGGAGATATAATATTATCAGTACCAGGAATATTTAAATTCGGGATCATATGATTTCCGATGGGCATAGGTACACTAGTCGAAGCGTTGACGAATAATTATTAGTTTCTGTAAACACATGCTAAACAAGGATGTAACTCAACTAGAATTCCGTGATAAGATTACCCTGGCATCCCATCTATTCCCGGACCAAAACCGGATCGAAAAGATGACATGTTGCCATTGAAAAATTCATTCCCATGACGCCATTCGTTGTTCCTTCTCATACCACGCCCTCTAAAGTTCTGATTGCTTTGCTGAGCATGATGATTCGACGACGGTTGTGATTGACGCTGGGAAGAACGTTGCTGCGTAGACTTTGATGTCTGCCCCTGTTGTTGTTGTTGTTGTTGTTGCGGTTGCTGTTGCTGTTGTTGAGATTGTGACTGTTGCTTTTGTTTCTGCTGTTGGCCTTGCCGGTTGTTGTCGGCAGAGGATGTGGCAAGGTTGGGGATTTCGCCTTCCTCCTTTTCCGGTGATTTCGTGTTCACGGACTTATTAACGCTTGGCGAATTCAATTTTCTAGAATCTAATTTTACATTTTCTGCGGCATTCAAATCGGATGATATTAATTTTTTGGCGGACAGAGTGTTCTCTTTTTGGGAAGATTTAGTAGCATTGTCCGTTTCGAGTTTCTCGGGTGTCACTGATTTTCTAGTTCGAGAGTCATTTTCTTTTTCCTTATCTAAATTATCTTGTTGATCCAACCCAAATTCCTTCCAGAATTCATCGTCCTCTATATTTCCATCATTTTCTAAACCGTTATTGACGTCATTGAAATCCTTGAGGAAGTCAGGGTCGTCCACATCAAATTCGTCCAAACCTAGTCTGAGCTCTTCCGGGTCCTCTTCTGGCGGTGGTGTCGTTTCGAGATTGTCTAGCTCATTTCCCTCTTCTTTGCCCTCCGTCTTATCCTTATTATCTGTTTCGACGTTCGCTAACGACATTAGTTTTCATTTCAAGCAACTTGGTTGGTGACCTTTCATCTGCTTTGAAGAGTCATGCGAATTCGAATAACTCAAGCTTACCTTTGTCAAGATGTTCGTCTATGCCAAAATCCATATCACCATCAAGGTCGAACATACTCTCATCTAATATCTCGTTGTTTATGGTGTCCGGATTATCGGATAAGTTGAAGTCGACCGCTTCTTCAAAGTCCAGTATCTCTTCCGTCATATTTGAAATGATTTTTTTTTTCTTTGATTATTGTCGTGGCGGTTTAAAGGCAAAGAGCTTCCTAGACGACTATTCTTGAAGTCTTTCGGAAACAATAGTTATGAAAACTGAACGTTTCCTTTGACCAATAACAAGATTTTTACGGAAGTTCAGTCATTTATTTCGGTGCGACCAAAGAAATCATCTGATTAAATAAATGATCTTCAATTACACCACTCACCAAATATGGCGTCGCGAAGTCCTATTTTAAGACTGCGTATCGTAAATAGGTGTATATGAAGTATGAGTAGTATGAAACAAGAGATTGAAGAGGAAATTCGCATTTTCAAGGAATCGCATAGTCGACTCCTTGCAGTGCTTCGTGAACGTCAGAAACGTCGACGGCTGCAGCTCGAGGCGAACGGTGATTTAAGAAAACACGTAGACACAAGAAAAAAGCAAGGTTCACCGGATCGCGACAACAAATTAAAGAAAACTGTGGTCAGCTCATATAAGCCGTATGGCATTCCATCAAGTGTCTTGCGAAAATCGGAACAAGTTGGTCACAGGAAACATTCAACTGATCACACGAACAAGGGCGATTCAACTCAGGATGGAGAGAAAACCATTCGTAATGATTATTGCCAATATTTTGTTGATTCAGGTCGCCGCCCTCAAAATTTCATTCGAGATACCGAGCTTTCACAACGTTTCGACGAGTAAGATCTGATTCCTAATTGTTTCAAGGAATGCAGCAATGACAACAGTTAACTGAATTTCGTAGGTATCCGAAGCTGAAAGATCTTACCAAGTTGAAGAATGCTTTGGTATCGAGCCGAGCGACACCTCCAACTTATTTAAAAGCTGATCTCCGATCATTCGAGTTAAAATCAATCGGAACTAAATTCGATGTCATATTAATTGATCCCCCTCTAAAGGAGTTAGTGTTTACGGAATATGCATGTGCATTCTTCAACTAGTTTGTTAATAGATGGATATTTTTATAAGGTACTGCAGGAAGTCACCATTAGTCGCAGGGACAACACCTGATTATTGGAGATATGAAGAAATAATATCCTTTATTTGATTACAAAAATTTTCGTTACCTTGTGATTGATTCATTCATCAGCACAATCGGCTACTTAACTCATCTTCATCTATTCATTACGCCAATCTCAAGATTGAAGATGTAGCAGCAACTCCTTCATTCATATTTATTTGGTCAGGTGACGCGGACGGTCTTGATCGTGGTCGCCAATTACTTCTCAAATGGGGTTATCGCAGATGCGAGGATATTGTATGGATAAAAACCAACAAAGCTTGGGAGGTACGAATAAAATGGACATACATATATATCGATCGCAAAGATTATTCCACATGAGTGGATTCTAAAAGTTGAAACAAACTAGGGAAGTCGATTCTTTGAGGAACGATCTGTTTTTCAACGAACGAAGGAACATTGCATAATGGGTATCAAGGGCACCGTTAGGCGCAGTACAGATGGACACTTCATTCATTGTAATGTGGACACAGACGTCATCATATCTGAAGAACCTCCATTTGGCAGTTAGTAAAGATTCGCTTTCTGTGTGTATGCCTTGATGTTATTGTTATTTTACTAAGCGTTGGTGTTGACTGATAGGCACTCGCAAACCCGAAGAATTATACCACATAATAGAACACTTTTGCCTTGGGCGCAGGAGACTAGAATTATTTGGCGAGGTACATTCGTGTTTTCTTTTTTCTTTTAGAATGTCCTCCTACATCGTGACGCAAGTATTTTTAATACTATAAACATCGTGATCATTATACAATAGGATCACAACATTCGCCCAGGATGGCTTACTATTGGGAATGGGTTGTCGAGTTCCAATTTTGATGCAAACACATATGCGTCGTATTTTTCCGAGCAAAACGGGTATCTTCTTGGTTCAACACCAGGTCCGACTGATTTCTTTGTATACAATTGTTTGAGATCGTATGGCGTACGTTACACTACACTTTATTCACCTATTTCACCCATGATCTTTTTAGACATCGAAAGTTTAAGACCGAAATCGCCTCCAATTCAACCTAAACCGGGTCCCGCCATGAAGCAAAAACCCAAAAAACCAATCAATAATAATACCATGGCCGTTCCTCCAATTCCACAGATGACCACATTTCCGGCTCGATGGATTTCATCGATGGATGGTAACATTTATGGAAAAGGACAATGATTAAAAAAATGCATAGCAACATTACTTTAAAAATCATCACCTATTCGTAAAATTGTAAGAATGAAACCGTCGCATTAACCTTTATGCTTATAATGCATCTCGGAACATTGTTGTAATTTAGCTGCGGCATGCTCGGGGGTGAGGTCACGTTGCGGTTCAGCAAGTAATTCGAAGCTTTTTTTGCAAAAAAAAAAAAAAAAAAGAATATATATATATATATATATATATGTGTGTGTGTGTACATTACATCGCATGGTCTTATCTAATCGGAAATTACTGGGATAAAGAAACACGCTTACCCAACTAAAAATTTTTTAACCGTCGGACTTCTCAACAATGGGGGATAGAAATGTAAATGAAAATGTGAATCGTGCGAGTGGTCACTTCCATCTACCGGCGCTTGATGAATTCCCATAGAATAGGGAAAGGAGCATTTAAAGACATTGTCGTAGCGACATGTGATCCTTAAAATCATGTTTGCAAGGTCTCTTTGCTGCTTCTTTCCAGCTTCAGCTTTTTCCATCTCATCCAAACTTGTTACATGAAACTTTGCAATCACCATTGTTTCATAAGGCCACACGGCCCAATATGGAGCAATGCACACGAATGAATCATTTTCGCAAATCACCCTTGGCTTTTCTTTTAGCTTGATCGTTTCCAGCTGAACGTAATCACACAATAAACAAGATTTGTTTTGTTCATAGTATTTGTTCATGGATTCGATCTCCTTGCTAGGTTCTTCGGGAATCGATTCAGTACTCCAGACTTGACAGTGCGGGTGAGGGTTCGAACATCCCATAATTGAACCTTTATTCTCAAAGATTTGCACGTAGTTGATGTAGGGAATCGCGAAAGCACTTTGATATACCTTGGTCCAAGCTTCGATGACACTGGTAATCCCTTCTTCCGACATCTCGGCCACAGTGATATTGTGCTTCGGAGAGAAGCAAATAACCTTACATTCCCCTCTGACACCTTCTGCCTTGAGCAGTGATATGAATCTATCTAAAACGCAGTGATCAATCATATTGAATAAGGAAAATGTCTAAAATTTCGAGAATTCATGTTTTCAATTCCATTATCGCAATTTTTTTTAATTTTTTAAACAGAGAAAACACCAACCGTTGGAATTTTCAGGAACAGGCAGCTGAGGCTGATCAACTTTTAAGGCAGCAAAATCATTATTGAAAATAAATGTGTTCGAATAATTCGGGTTTATCTGGCCTTGTGCTCGTAAATTTCCCGGGCAAAGATAGCATTTTGGGTCGTATTCTGGTTTTATCTCATCTTCCGTAGTTTCCTGTTGACCTTGCCAAGGCCGTTTAGTTCGATGCGGTGAACACAAAATCCAGGAATTGGTTAAAGGGTTGAAACGACGATGCGAATGATTATTAAAGTCAAATTCTTCAGACATGTGTTATTCAAAGGGCATTTTAGGGCAAATCCGCTAATTTTTTAATTATTCATATGATTTTGTTTGCACGTGACAATTAGTTTGGTTTCAAACATCCAATCACAAAATAATTATTCCAAGGAAAAGCTGCACAGTACGTTAAATAACATTAATACGAGAATTCTTTTGAACTGATGACCATCTATTTTAAAATGTTTAAGGGTTTAAGTTAACTGGGAATGTTCCTTCTTCTCTTTGAGTATCCCACTTTGAAATCTATCCAATTGATTGAAATTTAAAACATTAGATATTGATTTTAGATGTAGATTATATTCAAGTCGAATTCAAGAAGGGGATTGTACGATTTTCTTTTCTTTTCTTCTTTTTTATCTCAAAAGAGAGCTACCGCGTTCCAGATGTATAACATTTGATCAAGAGATTGATGTAACTTACATAGTCGTTAGGGCACAAGCTATTGTAAGCTCTGAAGAACTGCTTACAAGGTGGGAAATCTTCGCCGCGTGCTCTGATGCATTTATGATAATCTACGTAATTTTGCCAACAGTGTTTTGTCTGGTTGCAATTTGGGAAACGAGCGTCGAAGCCGGCTTTAACATAAACGGTTGTAAGGCAAATCACAATTAGTCGGATCGTTATAAAGGTCAAATAATGTTTAGGGCTGGTTTTTTTTTTTTTTTTTTTTACCTGTACGGAGGGTAATAGTTTTGACCTCGGTTTCGCTGGAAAAAAGAAAATTTCAAAATATTAAAATTCGCTCATACACATCAGCAGCTCATAAGCTAGGCTATAAAAGCTTGCCTATCAGACATAGTTGGAGAGAAAAGTTGTACGGTTGCTCGCGACAAACCGACCTGAATCTTACCATGCTGCAAGTTTGATCTCATTGGTCAAAAAATGATTATCCACATATTTGATAATGTTGTTATTTTTAATATAAATAAAATCAAAAAACTCTTTCCGCTGCAAGTTTTCTTACACTGGCGATCATAAATAATGCAGCAAAAAAAAAAAAAATCGTTAGATCATATTGTCTCGCGCAATTCTGAATGGATCCTCTTTTTTTTTAAAAAAAATTAATGAACTATATTTCAAAACTTATATCAAAAAAAAAAATAATTTTTATTTTTATTTTTATTTTTTTTTTAAAACCCGTGATCATGCCAGTACTGTGTGTTTATTAATCAAAATGAAAACTGATAGAGATACATAGGGCAATTGCATCATGGTTAAACTAAAAGATGTGTACTGATACACTTGTCAATGGCTTTCAATTCTCAAAAGAGCTTCAGCCTCTAAGTGCAACCTTGGGAACAATATTTCACTTTGGATTAAGTTTTGGGTAAAGATCCTTCTAACTTATCCATCATTGTCGGCAGGTTGTCGCTGCTTATTATCTTTCAAGGAACTGAATTTGAGAAACTACAAAAAGGGAAAGGAAAAATAAAAGGAAAGGGGAATATTTAAAAATATGCAAATGCTTTACATGAAAATAAAAAGAAAAAAAAAATTAAAATGCTCCATATCCTTCAAAAGATCTTTACTAAAAACCTTTTCTCATTAAAAGTCAACCCTTTTGAAATATCCTTCTTCTTCCTAACCATCTAAAAAACTTATCCATCTGTGCTCTTAATTATTTTCTTGTGACCATCTGATGTACTTATTGCTTACTCGGATCCAGTGTCTTGCTCAATACTTCTTTTCTTTCAGTCTTGATTTTATATCCACCCATGTAAAAGAAGACAACTAATAGTGAACCCCAGGTTCTTATGTGACTTTTCAATCTTATTGAGTAACTCCCGAAATCTTCCAGCAGCTATGCCTAGTTAAAGAAATTTTCTGTTATTTATCTTGATTGCAATATCATTATACAATGTCTGAGGAAATATATTCTCAATTCTAGAAAAGGGTGGTGTTTTATATTTCTCTGCTTTTTGATTTTACAGCCTGACTGGGATAAGAAAATAATCTTTTTCACATACTTTACCTGACTGGGATGATAAAAAACTGAAGATCTCAGCTTGAACAAATAATCATTTTTTCATCACCTAGAGAATTTAGTACCCATCCTAATGGCCTCATGATTTTTTTACTTCAGTTAAACTTTATTTGGAGAAGTGAAAAAGTTCGTATCCTTAATTTCTCTTTCTATTACCAGTGATATCATTGGAACACATGAGGTGATCAATAGAAGCTTGTTTACATTCAGCTATTAACATGTTTCATGTTAACTAATCAGATACCAGGTAACATTGTGTTACCAAATATTCAGGGTCAAACTGAGATAGACAAAATTCTTCAAAAAAACTATGAAAAATAGTAAACATTTTAAGAAGATACAAGACAGTATATGAGAAGATGGAAAATAAGCCTTCTCTTATCAACAAAACCTCTATTTCTTTTCACTTTCAGCTCTATAGGATAACACTTTACTTGTCAATTCTTTTACTTTCTAAAACCTTCTTGTCTTTAGTAGAAGAAGTGTGTACTTGAGTCTTTTTATGTCACTAGAGGCTCAAGTTTTTATTCAAAGGAGTTTATAAACAAGTAAGAGAGGATAAAAAAGATAAATGAGGACAAGCTTCAAGTTGTTTTAATGAAAGTATAAAGATTTTATTAGCAAAAAAGTATAAAACCTTTTGCAAATATCTTTTTTGTGTGTGGTTAGAGAATTAGCAGAAAGAGTTTTTTTTAATATAATTTTTATTTTCATTTTGACATTAAATAAATTAAATTTATATAGGTTATTTGTTTTCAAATCACCTGAATTTTTTTTAAAGATTTTTTTTACTTAAAATATTATTATGAAATATTTTAAGACAATAGTTACACTAGTCGAAATTATGTCATTTGGCTGCTGAATTATTGCTGAATTTGGTAAAATTTAATAATAAAAATATTGATGAATTATTTATGATTGCTGCCACTCAGCATTAAAAATATCAGCAAAAAATCAGCAAAAAAATATTGGCATTCTGTGAAAAAAAAATTCGGTACAAAATCCAGCAATATTGTGGTAAAAAATTTGACAAAAAAATTGATACTGCAACAAAAAATTCGGCAAAAAAATTGATACTGTAGCAAAAAATTTGCAAAAAAATTGATACTGTGGCAAAAAATTCAGCAAAAAAATTATTGCAGCAAAAAATTTGACAAAAAAATTATTGCGGAAAAAAATCCAGCAAAAAAATTACTGCGGCAAAAAATTCAAATTTCACGAAATTTATTAAAAAATTATAAATTCAATTAACTAAAT